TTAGAGTATAAAACGTGACTTAATAGTAAAATAATAAATTAAAAATATAAATAATAAAATATAAATAGTATATAGTATATAAAAGCTTAATTAATTAAATACTTATAAGGGATTATTCTCTAGAACTATAGAAAAACTAGCTTTCTTATATAATTTCTATAAGTTTATATATAAAAGACTATAGCCTTTATTATATAATCTAAATCTTAAAACTATTAAAATAATATAATTTTTAGAGAATATAGCCTACTATATTATAATATATATATTTGTAAAGAAATAAGACCTAAAATAGTACTAAGTTAATTATAAGATATAAGAAAAAATATATTAGATATTAGGCCTATTTTTTCTTAATTACCTTAACCTTAGTAAATATTTATATATAATTTATTAAACCTTATATAATAGATTTATTTAGGGAAAGTAAAATTAATTAGTCTAGGGAATTTAATAATAATAATTAGACTTTTATCTAGTATAATAGGTAAAGTACTAGTAATAGCCCGAGTATTTTAGGTTTTACTTATAAAGCTAAAAATATTATATTTATTAATTCTCTATATTTAATTAAAAAAAAGGTAATATATTTATATCTTTAATATACTAGTTATTATAAAATAATATTTATATAGTTTATAAGATTAATTATAGTTTCTTTTATTAGAGGAAAAAATAGTAAAATTAAAGAAAAATCTAATAGCCTATTACTATTATTATTATTAATAGCTTTAATATTATTATTATTACTATTAGAATTATCTTTAGTAATACTTTCTATAGTACTTTCCGTATTATTTTATAGCTTCTAGAAATTAGTAAATAAAGAGGAATTCTAGTATATATAAGTTAATTAAACCTAAAAACAAAAAAGAATTTATAGAAGAAATAAAAAGTAAGAGCCAGAATTAAAAAAGAGAATTATATATATATCTTTATTTACCTACCGGTTTATTAGATTTCTTCTTACTTTTAAAGTTTTATATCTATACTAGTAAATAATACTTTTCTGGGCTCTCTAGGCCTTTTTAGTCTATTATTTAATTTCCTTAAATTATTATATCTTCTAAATATTATCTAGTTCTTTATAAGTAATTTTAAGATAAAGATTTTTATATAAAGTTTTATTCTAATATAAAATAAGGAAAATTATTCAGATATTTTTAGGGCCCAGATATATATTATAGCAGAAAAGATTAAAGATAGTTTAAATAGAACCTAGTAAGACTATAAGTTCCTAAGCTTTTTTATTATTAGAACTAGTATAAAATACTAGTTTATTTATATTATTAATAAATTAATAATAGTAAATAGGTCTACTAATATAGAAAAAGAAGTAAGGAAATAGCTATTAAGAAACTATATTAGAAAAAATAAAAAAAACTCGATTATTTATTTCAAATTAAAAGTTACTTATTAAAAAATATCTATTAGAATTTATATAAAGAATCTAGTAAAAAAAATAGAAGAAAACTTACTATTAATTTCTTTAGAAAGCTAAATAGTTCTTTACTTAGCTTTCTAATTCTTTATATTATTAAATACTTACTTATAAAGAACTAGTTATAAAATTATAGTCTATAATTTTATAAGACTAAATCCGGCTATATTTTAATTTATAAGATCTTAAAGGGCCTTAGGTAGCCTATTACTAGTATAAGAAGCTATAGCCTAAATAGTAGCCTAAATAATACTTGTATTTATAGCCTATTAAGCTTATATAATAATATAAGTATTACTAGAAAAGTAGTTAGGTTAAGTAATATAGCTTATAGTAAAAGGAAATATAAAAGAAAATAGTTATAGGGCTATTAGAATAAGAGAAGCCTAAAATAAAGCAGAAATAATACCTGGTAGCTATATAGTAATAATAACTAGAGAAATAAATATAATAGATATTCCTAAAAAAAAAGATATAAGATAAGAATACTAAGAAAAGCTAGGGATCTAAAGTATTTCAGGTATAAAAAAAAAGGCAAATACGAACGGAATTCTAGAGCTATAAGATTTAAGTTTACTAGTATTATTATTTTAGATAAGTAAAGTAATAGCCTCTATATTATATTTATTATTAGTAAATTAATAGAACTCGTAATATTAGATATTATTATACTAGTATTTGGCTATAAGATATATAATATTAGAGCAGGTTTTAAGAAATAGTAATACTATTTTAAAAAATAAGAATTTAAGAATATAGAATATTTATATAATAAAAGAACTTAATAATTTTATTAGTATTACTTTTAAAAGTAAGAAAAAGGTTTTAAAAATAATATATTTAATAATAAATAATACTTATTTTAATATATCTAGTTATTTTATAATTAGTTTATTTAATTATTCTATATTATTAGAAGTATTACTAATAAAGGGCTATTTCTAAATAAAGTTCTGGATTATTAAAAACTATATAAGTATTTTTCTAGCCTATATATTACTTATATATTTTATATTTATTAGAATAACTTACTTAAGAATTCTATTTTATATAATAGTAATATTATATTTACTAGTTAGCTTCTCGAACTCTTTTAATATTAGTAGTTATTCTAAGGCTATATATATTCGAACTATATATTAGAGCTAGTAATAAGCTTAAATATATAATTAGTTACTATTTCTATTAGTATTTCTTATATAAATATTAGCTATATTTATATTATAAAATATAAGCTTCTAATAATATTACTTTAGTATTTCTTTTAATAGAAACTTATTAATATCTATATTAGTATATAAGTAAACTATTTATATAAAGCTATATAAGGTTATATTACTTATTCTAAACTAAATAATTATTAAGAATTATATTATAAAGCTTTATATCTATAGGGTAATCCTAATATTATATCTTGCCTAGAGGCCTTATATATAGTCTAAATGGCTTACTAGCTACTATATTAGATCTAGATCTATTTTTTCTAATTCTATAAATATTTTATAAATTTATAAACTTATATATCTTATTTTAGATCTATTATATATAAAGTACTAGTAAAGTAATCTAGTTTTATAAGTATTAGTAATTATAACTCCCGGTATAGACTAGTTCCTAAAAGTAGTTCTATATATACTAATTAGAATTAGTTATATAATCCGGTATTATAATACTAAATCTAATAGCCTTAATAAAAAAGTAATATAATTATTAGTACTTAATACTTTCTTCTAATAATAGAAAAAATAAGAGACAGATATAAAAAAATAGAATTACTTATATATTACCGGTATAGCTAGCTTTTCTAAAGCTCTTATTACTAGAATTTAACTCGCTAATTCTTAGTACTTTTCCTAGAAATAAAGTAGTTCTTTATATATATAACTAATAAATTAGCTATTTATAAGAATATAAAGTATATTTTAGTAATAAGAGAAAGTTTAAAGCCTTAATTAGCCCTAAAAAAGTAAGAATAATAGTTTATTTAAGTATAAATCTAAAGATATTACTATATAACTAAATAGATAATCTAATTAGAGATTCTAATATATATTTAGATAATATTATATAAATAAGTATTAATATAAGTATATATCTCGATCCCAAATAATAATAGTTTATTATATCTATTAATTAACTAAATCTAGTTTAGCCCAGATATAATATATTTTCCTTTTTTAAATTATATTCGTTATATTTATAGTATAATTACCTCGGAATTAAGAAATTATAATATTATATATAAGCTCTCCCTATAGATAATAAAATATATTAGTAAATAAGGCTCTAATCTTTTAAGCTAGAATAAAACTATAAAGTATAAAAAGGCTAACCGGATTACTAATAAACCTTATTAACGGAAATATATATATAAATACCGCTATTTATAACCTATAACTCGCCTATTATTTAGCTTACTTTATAGTATTATAAATAGTTATTTGTCTGCTACTTATCTATTTATTATAGTTATATAGTAAATAAGACTAAGCTTCTTATATATATAGATAACTCTAGTAATTAAAGCTATATAGCTATAATTCTTAAGATCCTTAAGTATTTTCTTATTTATATCTCCCAGATAATATAGAATTATAATTTATATATAAAGAAAAGATATATCTATTATTTAAATATATACTTAAATATTTCATTCTCGTAGTTAGTATTTAATTATATAGGCATTAATATTAATTTTCTATAAATCTTTTAATCTTATTATAATTATTTTATAGGAAATATTTATATAAGCCTATTTAATAATAGTATTATAATATAGTAAAAGATTTATAGAGTATTATAGTATTTTAATATAATTAAATAAGGTATTAATAGTATTAATATATTATAAGTTCAGGCTATATATTACTATTATAAAGCACTTCTAGTAATATAAATACTAAATTACTAGAGTAATAGTGAGGCGTACTCTAAAAATAGAGGGGCAGGTACGTACGGTTGTTAGAAATCAGAAAATCAAATCTCGCTTCTCGGTTTTGTCGACTAGCTAGCTGTGGGCCTCAGTACACCATCCCATAGATTACCGCTGCCGAGATGGAGGCAGCGCGATAGGAGAACTGAGCCCATCCCGAGTAGAAGTCGAATATGACATACGAGAAGGAATATCGGAAGACGGAAAAATTGAATGTCAAGTGCCTGTGTAGAGTATGCGGTTGGCCGTCAGGTTTGTTTTGTTTTTCTTACTTTAGTAAAATTGTTTGCACTATTTCATTTTGTTTCACTTTTCGTGCCTTATTAATTTTATTTTATATATATAGTTTAGACCGGATTAGCCCCTCGTATTTATAACAATTAAATCCTTTGTATTGCAGTAAATATAGTTGCGTGTAATATAATTCAAATATATATTAAGAAGAGAGATATAGCACAAATGGCCAGAGGCCCAGAGCTTAAATATAATAATGCTGGTCACGTAATACTAAATCACGTGACCGGCCTATAGTTTCTATATAATACTAAATTTATTAAATTTATTTAAAACTAGTAATAAGCTAATATCTTATAAAAGAATTAACTAAACTAATATTTAAGAAATGCTAGAAATTATATTAAATAACTAAGGGCAATGAAGAAATACGAGACCATGGCCATTGGCCATGGGTTTCGAGGGCATTATAGAGAGCTATAGAGAACTCAATACTAGCCTCCGCAAACACCTGTAGAAAAGTATCTATAAAATTCTGTACATCTTCCGGATAATTATCCACTGTTAAACCATACTGAGTACCTCCACCAAAGAAGCAGGAAAATAAAGGAGACGTTATTCTGACTGCTTTGAGGTCAGATAAAACCGTGCAGCATCCAATATGAAGGTATCGCATAGTTTTTGTTAGAAACTCAAGCGGATTAGAGCCATCAGAGAAGTCAGGATAGAATTCCTCCCATTCGGAAACACCCCAATAGTCAACCAAATGGAGGCTGACTAGAAAAGGTGGGAGAAGGGACTCGATATCCAGTGCGGAGGGGCTGGTTTTGCCAAACAGCCAGAGGGTTTCGGTTGTAAGGTGATTCAACGCTTTCATCCGACCTAGAGCTGGAGATAAGAGGGACGGAAAGTTGGACCGTTGCCATGAACTTCCTGGTGTCGTGGTCAGGTGTAGAACTTCGAGGGTCTGTTCCAGTCTAGAGAGTCCTTTGCAAATATCCCTATCCGTTGGCCAATGTCTGCCCGGCCATGTATCGTTTGATCCATCATCCCATTCAGCATACAACTGTCTGAGATTGGGAAATACGGACCCAATAACGGGTAAGCTAGACTGTGGATGCCAGGCCCGACGAAGAATCAACTCTTTTGCATTTCCATTGACCAACCCCGGTTTTAGTTCTTCTGACCTGGTGTTATTGGAAAACATTAATCTCCAGTGGTTGATTCCCTTAATTTCGATACGTTCGAGATATGGACAGGACCGAGTGATCAGCTCAAGAACGGAGGTAGGGTAATAGATTTGCGTGTTTTTCTCGTAGTGAGGCTCGAGTGTAATCGTTCGGAGTGATTGGAGGATGTGCAGTAATATCGGTGGAAGATCGACAATATTTGCCGACTCATATCTCCCATACATCCATGTCTCGGGAGCTAGTAGTCTTCCAATGCTGAGAAGTTCCGGACATTGAGGTATCCGTCCTCTCTGAAGAACTCCATCCGAGACCGATCCAAGGAGGGTGAAAAGAGCTTTAAGCTGGGAAGCCATTCCTAGAATAGCTCCAAGGATTTGAAAAGCCCGAAAGGTCCGAGGATTGTTGGGATCAAGATTCAAACGACGAACAATAAATACGTCTTCCGCAGAAGCTGGTGGCCAATCGTTTCCACTCCAACACTGGGAGATTACCCGTTCCATCTCCTCGTCCTCAGTCGGTTCGTCTACTTGCAATAGCGGTCCCAGGCCAGATAGAACGCCCACCCACGCCAAAGAGGACACCAGCGGTCGTAGATGTCGTGCGCTTAATAGGGTACGGAAAAAGCAAAGTAGCTCCCTTCGACTTTTCAAGACCATGACCTTGTAGAGGAAGCTTGTGACTATGGCGTTAAAATGGCGAGAAACTTGACAGATGTTGCAAAGGACAGTCCGCGACTCGACCAAGGAACGATCGAGTTGCGGTGTCCCGGCCCATGACTCAAGGGTGGTGGCCCTACCGGTTGGCAGTAGACAGTCGATACTTCTGAGCAGCAGTTCCCGAGGAAGTAGAAGGGGATTTGCAAAAGCTGGAGTTAGGCAAGTGGATCCAACCGAACCGCCAGTAGTACTGCCTTGGATCGACATGTTGAATGTGCTTCGAGTCCAACAGTCAAAGTGGTGGTTAACGTCGCTTTGCTGGGGTGTTGATTGTAAAGAGATCTAGCCTCTGAAGATGTAATATCGCCCAACAATGGAGAACTCAAGGGAACAGGCAAGAATTAGGGGGGAAAGTAAAACGACCCCACCCCGGGTGTCGATTAGGGGTGTCGATGGCAGAATTTTTTTTTGGCTTAGCGCTTGGCATTTCCCGAGTTTATTACTAAGGAACCGATGCAGCCCTAGAATCGCACACGCCCCCCCAAGGCACTCCCCAATCCCCGCGGGTATTAGATAGAAATATTAATAGATTTTAGAGTTTTAATAATATATAAATAATTACTTGTATAAGTTTATATATAAGAGCTCTAGTTTTGGGGCTTGGGATAAGCGAGGCGATTATTGCGCATGAGGAAAATAAGTTCCAGGTGCTTAATCGCTAAATTTTCAGGCTCTCTTAACGAGCCTACCGACAGAAGTCCGTGTTTTTAGGGCATTTCGCTAAGAAACGAACCCCATTACTATTTTGGACACTTTTGTTTTATATTTAGAATTGGGTTTGAAGGCTCTCTAAACTCAACCCGGCTTCTTTTATCGCGCGTGCTTGAATTCTATATAGTTCTAATCTATAGTTGCTGAGAAAATGTGAAGTGAAGTGGGCGATTTGAGTTTTGCGACACCTGAAAACATCGCTAAAAACACGGACTTCTGTCGGTAGGCTCGTAAGATCGGTGCCTCTAATCGACACCCAAAATCGACACCCTTAATGGACAATTAACACCCCTAATTAACACTAATTAGTACCCGGCAAGATATCGCTGTATATTTTTCTGTTTTGCTAGAGGTTAAGAGAAATTAAGTATTGCCATATGCATTATAACCAAATCCGTCTGGAAACAATAATAATAATATGCGCATTCCAGTACATTAAAGCAATGCGCACTGGGTGCCAATATATATTAATTTGCATACAGTGGTGTGTACAAAGTAACGTATACGGGCACGTACCACCGCTTGCTGATTTCGGTTAGTGTGGCCCCAATCGACACCCCTAATCGACACCGGGGGGGGGGGGGGGGTTCGTTTTACTTTTTCCCTCCAGCTGCGGCTAGTACTAAGAACTTCTAGATCTTATTCTTACTCGGTGATTTGGCAGCTTGTGACTTGCTCTTTTGCGAATCCTATATTTACATGCTCTACCATAAAATGTCCACTGATACCGATTATCAAGGGATTGCATTCATGTTCAGCTCGGAGTACTCTTCATGCTACCTACTCATGTATTTTGGCACTATGGTCTTCGCTGGCTCCAAGCACCGAACCTTTTCCGTCTGGAAATGCTGAGCCTAGTCATTGACTTAGCACATGGTACAGAAAAAAGTCATTCCAGCTACCTACCATAAATTGGATGTTGCAAGGACTTCATTTGCTCTTCAGGAATGCTCCTTTGCCCTGCCCATTCGAAGATACGACGCCAGTCTTTGCAGGTATGTTCATGCGAAAAGTCGGCACGTGGCATTGGCATGTCTTGAGACCATTCCAGCGTAAACAGCGAAACATCAGTATGGCACAAGATTGCCTGTCTAAGTACATCGATACAATGATCTTGTTGTGGTCAGCGGATGGTACGACACAAGTGGGAGGAAAGATACCAGTATGCAATCGGTTGAGTCGTTTGTCCTCGTCGGTGGCATTTGCATGATAATAATCCTGCCACGTATATTGACGAATACGTTTCTATGATGTTTGTTGAGTAAGAATAGCATGGACAAGTTTCATCGGATTTCTTACTAGGCAGTGTAGCTCATGATAGACGCCAAGGCCACCCACGTACATATCAGTGCCCGGGACCCCAATTGAGTCTGCATGAATTCTGTCTAGGTCTGACTTCGAAACTTCGATATTCATATCTATATTATTAGCAATGGCTCCTTTATTTCCTGGGGCGGAATGTTTTTTAAGGTACTCGTACATTGCAAGAGTTCCGTCCAAGCTTCGTCTACCTCGGGACTAGGTTCGCCGTTGTAGGGACTATCAATCACCAGAGTAGCGTTGAAGCGGACGCACTCATAATTGACAACATCCTCAGCAGGAGCTACTCGAAGTGGTCAGAAGTGTCCATATTTCTTCAAGACAATGGAGCAATTATCTTACAGTAGACAAGATTCTTTTTGACGCTCTGTCGATCAATGAAGAGATCAACAAGAAGAAAAAACATTGCAGTATACAATATAATCAAGGTGCTTTGGATGAACAGAAAATGTCCACAACGACCGTGAAGAAAACCGAATTGCTTCCTGTTTCTAAGAGGTTGAAACTTCTCTAGAAGACTGTGTGAATCATCGTCGACATCATCTTGGAATGAGTCAAAAGAGTGGTCACGGTCTCCCATGATGCTGGGTGTATTTCTGTCGAAAGAACTACTCGAGAGGTCAGAAACGTGAAGTAACAGCTGTAAGAGTGGAAGAAAGCAATGAATTGAAGATTGCTTAGGTCCGCACATCCGAGTATCATTCCCCTCCTTCTCCCAAAGCCATAAACCCCGCAGTCAGATTCTCAAACAAGTCAAAGCTTGCGGCACAGATAGTCTCCTCGGCAATTCATTCAGTGTGGATACTCTCAGCCGGGTAGAGATAGTCTTATCAAAGAAGGTCATGACTTCTGTCAAACTTTTGACAAGCATGCGTAAACACTGGCCAGGTTTGTGCTTCGTTCTCCCGGAAGATTCTCACCCAGCCCTCCCAAGTGGAGAACCCTATATCCATGCTTGCTAGTATGCATTTAGTTGTCCCATTTGAATATGAACTTGGTACAACATACTCAGTGCTTACTTTCCTTAAGGCAAATATGCATTCGTGACATATGATTCTGATTTTCATCCTTGAGTCTAAAGTATTAAGGTCTTGAAGCATGCTTGTGGGGTCGATTACGTAGCTCTTTGGATTTTGGACATGGTTGGACACACTTAGTGCTTACTTTTCCAAAGGCAAGTACGGGTATTTGCGATACGTGATACTAGTCTTCATCTGCATAACTCAATAGGTGAGGTATGTAGCCATGCTCGTGGTAGTCAACAAGTTATCTCTGTAGAGCTTGCAATGAACACAGCATATCTAGTGGTTTATCCAAGGGCGTGTACCCTAGATCAGTAGAGGCACAGCGGGTGCTAGTGCCGTTAATCAAGCCCGTGTGATCTATCCCCTCGTCCGGTGAGACATTGCCAGCGCTAGCAGGAGGGTCTCGCTTAGAAAGAAAACTTGAAGGGTTCACTAGCCAACCGCCCACGCGCCTCCGGTTAGTCGTGATACACCGAAATCTGGGCCGAAAATTAAACCCCTCATTACTTTCTTTAACAGCCAGCACACTTAGGTTCCCTTAGAAAAATAACATTAATTGATGCGCAGTCCATAGGCTTGCCCTCGATAAAATTATAAAAACTTGATTGTCACTGCTATGGAAGTTAATATAAAAAACTTTGATTTTCGGCCCGATTTCGGTGTATCACGACTAACCGGAGGCGCGTACCGCCCAAACCCCCATCCACCCACCCCAAAAAAATCGATTTTTAATCATAACTTCATTATAATTACAAATCCTTTGATTTATTAGCATGACATAGTATTTTCGATATCCTGACAACTATATAATTATTTTAACCTTGTGGTGCGGCTAGAATCGCCCGTTAAAGTTGAATTTTTATTTTTTGATATGCGGCCGCATCCAATAATTTTTAGTAAGCAGGGCTCATACCAAAAAAAATAAATGCAGTTGGTTATTGAATACAATTAGTTATTTGTTTTATGCCCAAGCGAGATCCCCCTGCTAGCGCTGGCAATGTCTCACCGGACGAGGGGATAGAGGGGCCACCGCGAAACCTCCAAGTATTACAAACGTCAAAGGACCTCTCTTTCTCACACAAACCAAACACCATTCTCAACTTCAGCTACTCAGATTTACATTCAAATCAAATTACTTCCAAACTTCGAAATGCAGTTCTCCAAGATCGTCCTCGCTTTTGCCTTTGCTCTTGGCGTTATGAGTATGCCAACTGGTAAGAAACAAAACCATTACAATAAGTTTATCTACCATCTTAACAATATCACTTGTAGCTAATATCGAGGCTCTCGGTGTCCGTGAGCCGGAACCTCACTTAACTGATGCCAATGTCGTTCTTGGTTGCGAGCGTGATGCCGACGTTTACTATGACACCGGCTGTTGAATGAACGGATTTTGCTGAATGGAAGAGCTGCTATCTGATCTTCAAAGGCGTTTAGCATCTTCCAGCAAACGCGGTTCAAAGTCTGGTTCTTGTCCGGGATAGTTGTTTGAAATGGTTGTGGAAATTGTGGAAGCTGCTGAGGTTGGAGATGGGGAGATTTAGTCTAAAAAAAAGAATGCAAAGTACTCATTGCCTTTACCCGAAATTTCACATATGGGAAAATTTGCGTGAAATGAATTTATATGCAATTAACTGCTTCCGTTGATGGTGAGCTGCCACTGAGTTGTAGAGCTTCTGCGGTTTTCCAGAAGAGGGATTGCATTATGCTGTGTGAGAATATGAAAATTTATTCCTTTCAGTATTTCGACTGAGGCCTTGCTCTGAAAATCAACGCAAGAAGCAAAGAAAGCCGGCTTCGACTACTGTCTTTATGGCCAGTTCGAACCTTGTAGGGTATATAATACTAAGGTGGGGTAGAACAAAATTTACCCCTCTGGAATTTCACTTTTCAATGTTTCGAATCAGGTATAGGAGACTTATAATCAGATATTAGAAGCAAAAATCTCGATACATAATGAAAATAGGCCAAAATTTCTTTAAACTTTCCTTCAGAATTCCTTGAAGTCTACTATCTAGAAGATCTGGAGGTTGGATGGAACTTTGGTTCTTTGGCCAAAGCCCACTCCCGAATAGCATCGACATTTCGACACTTCTTCTGAATATTGAAGTTGGCATGAAACGCTTGCATCCTCTCATGCCATCTCACTGTCATGAAGCCAACATCTCCATGACACAAAATTGTTTGAACAAGGTAGCTGAAACAATGATCCGCGTAACCGCCTTCTGCAAATCCCTTGGTCACCACGGTTTCAATGGGACCGGCATAAAACTCCTGTCTTATAGCGTCCTAGAATGTAACTATATTAATTGTATTCTATGTTTACAAACAATGATGTGATCTTACCAAACAATGAAGTTGATGAAACACCTCCAACAGTACACCATAGCCTTCTTCACCTCCGTATAGATGAGCAGTTTGCTTGCTAGGTGAGACACGAGAGTATTCTTCTACGGTGATGGCTGTCATTTTGTCCATCCGTATGGATCTCCATATTTCATCTCTATCTGGATTATCCTGAGAGTAGATATCGAAGTTATTACCGCCCGTGTTCGACAAATAAGTTCCTAAGTTGAACGTTAGTCGCTGGCAATATGAGGAGAGTTGGGGAAATGCCTACGATCTTCATAAATAATTGGAGCTCCCAGCTCATTGCCTGAAGTTGTTAACGAAGAATATACAGCAAAGCAGAGCACCAACCAAAGCCTTCGTGATATGGGTCACGTAAAGGGTGATATATCGAGGTAGTGTACAGACTGGCGAAAAGGAGACACAAGAACTATGGAAGCAGTTGAATGAATAGTCTCGAGGATCGTGGCTGCAGGGCAAATACGCGCTTATCTTTCTCACTCTCACTGTTATCACCTTTCAGGTCTTCTTGTGAGAGAAGACGGTACTTAGAGAAGAAACGATGGTGCCTTGGGGCCATTATACAAGTTCTTCCAAAAAAGAAATAGAAAATCTAATGGGGAGTGTAAATAGCAGAGTTCCTGAGTAGAGAGAAACTCCTTTGCTTCAACACAACACGGAAGTGTCGGTGAGTTCATCAACCACCCTGGAGGTCTTGTGAGACATCATGAATGACGACCGCTAATACAGAGCAAATCCATAGATGCCTCAGTTGACTGGGAAATTATAATAACGAAATTGTGGCAATGATAGGCGTTTCTCCACCTTCGGCATTCATGCATCTACATGACGCCAAGATCGTCAGATGTCGTCAAGGAAGTCCTCGGGCATCCATACAGGTGGTACATTACAGGTTCTCTCGTATCTGCAGTCAGATCCTTACGACCAAGCCTACTTGGTATTAAACTAGCCATCGTACTAATTCTGGGAGCTCTAATGATTATCTCTACTAATACCAGGACCTTAATGGGCTAGGGGCACCCCGTTATGCGCCTCCGGTGTCGCGTGCGGAGCGTATGCGTATATCTTGAGCATGTGTATGTATTAAGGATATACTTTTTAAGCGATTATTGGAGGGTAAGAGAGGGACATGCTTCTTGCCCGCCTTTAGTACGCATGCTGAGGGCTAAAAAATACAGTCGGTCCGATCCAAAAGTAATAAAACGATTGCTCTTTTACGCCCATAATAACTTTTTAATTACAACCCTAATTAATTTATACTAAGTAATGCGATTATAGAATAAAACCAGGCGAAAAATACTTATTAATAATTGAGGTTTAAAATATATAAACCCTTTTTACTTTTTTGATTTTTTATTATATAAAACGCAAATATATTTGCTTACTAAGATTATATAAGCCCGTATTTCAAGAGAAAATCACGGCATCTTACTAGCCTTATTATTAATATAATAATAATTAAGCCTTATAAGCTTAAATAAATCTTTCTAAATACTAAATATAACTTTTTCTAATATTATATATATTATATATATAATAAGTATTATAATTTAGCTTTTAATCTTATTAGTTAATATAATTATCTAACTAATATTACTTATATTTTATTACTTTTTAATTATATAATAATATATATAATATAAATAATATAATTACTTTATTAAAAAAAATATACTTAAAATATATTAGAAATATTTAGAAAACTAAGCCTTTTATAAACTAATATATTATAAAGTATATATATTTCTTTATAGCCTTTTATATTCTAGTTTTCTTTTTCTTAGTTTTAAATTATCTTTATAAGAAATCTTTTATCTTGCTTTTCAAGCCCTAAATACTATACTTATAATAATAAGGCTTTAATTATATGGGTTTTAAGCTAACTTTTAGCTAAATTAAATTTATAAAAAAATAACTTATTATTTAATTACTTTTTTTTCTTTACTTTTATATATTATTTCATTTATTTATTACTTTTTTAAATATTATTATATAGCGTTTTTACTTCCTTATATATTAAATAACTTATTTAATACTTAATTCTTTTTAATATATATTTATTTAATAAAATATATAATTATAAAACCTTTATATAATTTTAATTAAATAAGCTTTAAATGCCTTTATTATCTTAATTTCAATATTTGAAAAGCTAATTTTCTTTATTTAATAATATTGAGTTTTATTATATTTCTAATATATTTTAATTAAATTAATTTTATAATAAAATTTTAATAAAAATATAGCTTTATATTTTTATTTTATAATAAGCTCTTTAATTTGAGATTTTTCTTTAAAGAAATCTTAGTAATTTAATAATATATAAGCTAAATAATGCGTTTATTTAATAATAAAAGAATATTTAATATTCTTTAAATATTTAAATTTTAAGCTAAATATATTATAATTTTATTTAATAAAAATTTGTTTTATATTCTTAAATTTTCTTTTTTTATTTGAATTAAGTTACTAAAAAACTTAAATAATACCTATAATAAATTAAAATTCGATTTATATATTTGGCTAAAAGACTTTACTAAATTATATAATAAAATCCAAAGCTCTTATTATATAACGCATTACTTTTAATTAATAAAGCAACTATATATTACTTAAAAAGCTCGAATATATTAAGAAATATAATTTTACTTCTTTTCTTTTTTCTTTTTCTTTTCTTTTTAGAGAATTTTATTTAATTAATTAAACTACTAGTCTTTTTTATATAAAGATATAGCCTGTAATAATACTTTATAATTCCGGAATTATATAATTTAAGTATTTCTATTTAAATATATTAAGTATTCTAGTAATTTATATTAATAATTATTTTATATTTTACTAAAAATCTTTATTTAAGCTTATATATATAATTTAATAAATATTTAAATCGGAATTATTTGAAATAAAAATGCTTTTATTATTTAATATTTTAATATATCTTTTAAGACTTATAATTTTAAAATTTAAAATTAGCTTTTCTTTATTTTTTCCGGGCATTTTTTATTAATTTTTTTATTAATTAAAGGCATTTTTTATAATTAAATTTATAAAAATAGCTCTTATTATAAAAATATATTTTATATATTTAAACTTTAATTAAAAGTAAAAATTATATTATATATTATATATTAGCTTTATTTTCTTTATATTAAACTATATATAATAAAAGCTTTTTTATTAATAATAAAATATCTTTTAATAATATTAAATTATATTAGATTATTTATATAAAGCCCTTTCTTAGTTTTATAATAATAAAAGCCGAGCTTAAAAAATTATAAATAAGCTATATTATAAGTAATAGGCTTTTTTATTATTAATAATAATTAAAATAAAATCTTTTAATTCATAATATTTAAGAAATTATTTAATAATATTATTTCAAGCTTTTAATTAATTAAATATAATAGGTTAAAAAATATCTTTATTATTTAAATAAAAAATATTATTTCTTTTATTATTTCTAATTTCTTATAAAATATTATATTATTATTAATAATTATTAAATAGCTCTTTAATTTATTAAGCTAATATCTTTTTATTATTAAAGTAATAATTATTAAAAGCTATTAAAAGTAATATATTAATTCTTTTAAGTTAATATTAGTTTACTAGTAATATATAATATAATATATAATATATATGAAATATTTAATATATATGAAATATTTAATATATAAAGTTAATAAAGTAATTAATATTTAAAAGTAAGAATTATAGTATTATAGTATTAATATATAATTTCTAAATCTGCTAAGCCTAATAGAGTCTAGTTTACCGGTCGAGTTATTTATAGGATATAAGGTTATATAACTATATCCCGTATCTTATATTTCGTTATTTATATTTTATTACCTATATCCCGTTTCCCGAATCTTATAACTATATATATAACTTCTAAAGAAATAGCTATACTAATATTAAAACTTTTCTAAAAACGCAAAAAAAATAGTATTTCCCTCTAATTATATACTAATTTCCTAATCCGGCCTAGTACTAGATTTCCCAAATGCTTCATATATTTATATATATTCTCTTATCCCATATTCTTATCTTATATATCTATTTCCTGCCCCATTTATATTTGACCTATTTCTTTATATCTAACTATATAGTATTTATATTAATAAGATATTTAAAGGCATTTAATAGCTTTGATTTTATTATAGAATCGGCAGAATTTAATTCTCTCTTAATCTATTTAACTTCTATAATTTCTTGTTATTTATATATCTAATAGAAATATAATATATTAATTATTAGGTATTTCTTTCGAGTAATATTTAATTTAATAAAGCATTTATATAATAACTTCGAATTCATATAAACGACTAATAATAGTTCTATTTTTAGTATTCTATTAATTATAAATTTAACTAAAGTACCTATATTAAAGCTATAAGTTATATTATAGAATTCTAAAGCTAGAATACTTCTAGTAATTCTTTTATATTTAGTAAAGAACTAGTAAATAATATTAGTATATCTAATTCTATTTACTAGAACTAAAATATATCCGATTTAGGAAAAGAGATTTCTATTATTTATAAATAAAGTATTCGTAAAAACAATTAAATATAAGAACTTCTTTACTAGCTTTACAAATTTCAGTTCTCTAATAGTATTCTCAATTTGCTATTAAATATATTTATTAAATGCCTTTATATTAGTTTCCGAGAATTTAATAGCTTAAATAGTAATTAATAGATTATATAAAGCTTCTAGTTAATAGACTAATATAATATATATTTCTTTAGTATATTAGATAATATATTAATTCTTAATAAAGAGATCTTAATAAATAGTACTTCTACTATTTATAGTAATAGTATTTTTATAGAAATATTTTAAAGGTTTTTATACTAGTATTTCTATATAAGAATAATTCTAGTAATATTTATATAAATAATACATTTATTAAACTTGAGATTATAATTAAAAGTAAGGCATTTATACTTTTTAGCTAAGAACTTAGCCTTTTAGAGCTTTAATTACTTTACTTTTATAAAATTATTAGTTCTAATAAATAGAATATTATTAGTTTAAAGGCTAATAATTCCGAAAAATTACTTATTATAAAAGAAGCAAGAATTATAAGTTAACTATTTTATAGAAAACTTATTAATATAATAGAAATAGTAAGTCTTAAACTAGTAGTTTCTAGCTTCTAGTATATTATATAATAG